GCTGCCTTCCGCGTGGCAGGCGCAGTATCCAGAGCCTCCAGAAGGGGCTGCGGCGCGCGTTGTCGCCGCTGGCTGTCTTCCGCGTGGCAGGCGATACGCTGCTGCGAGAAGATCAAAAAGCGCAGTGTAAATGCTGCGGCGAGGGCGTTTGTGAAGCCCGTCTCTGCGCTTCTGCCATTGTGATTTACGTGCCCAGTGTTGTCACCGGCTCGAAACACGTAACCCGTGCAACATGGAGCCATACGACGATGCGATGTCTGCTGCCTGCGCTGCTTTGCAACGGATGATTGAGAGCAGTTTGGACATGCCGATCGAGGATCAGCCAACACTCGACCGGCTTTTGGCAGCGAACCAGTATCACTTCGGTGATATTTCAGATTGGCCAAATGACATCTGTGAAATACTTCCTGGGGAGATGATGTCTTTGGAACCGCCTGAGACCTACTTTCTCGGGAGCTTGGCTGCCTGTCGCCATCTCCGGACCCACCAGGAAACTGTCCTACTTTCCTATCGCAAGGTGTCGGTTGTCTTGAGCTTTTGTCCGCGGGAGATGAAACGTATTCGTGGGCAGCCAGAGGTGGGCTGGCAAGCGTGGTTTGAAGATCTCCAGATTCGGTGGTTTACGTTCGACGTGGACGATCCCAGAACATACTTGGATGACACCAATACTTTTTGTCAAGAAGTGGGAAATGCCTGGTTGTCATCGTGGATGGACATGTGCTGCGCTCTTCTGAAGCACTTGAAGGCAACGACTCAGCGAGAAGAGCGAGGCATCCTCTTTCATTGCTTCGGCGGGGTCAACCGCAGCTCAGCGGCATTGTGCGCGTGGTTGATCTTTCGTCGTCAGCTCTCCGCGGAATTGGCTGTGCAGAGCTTGTTGACGGCCCGTCCCACGCTTCACCCCTGGAAGCATCGGCCGCATGTCTTCTGGGCATTGCGTACTTGGGAGAAGAACCTAAATTCCTTTGTAAGACCTCGCATTTTTGCTGCAGTTCAAGAACTGTGAGCTAGCATGCCGGCGAGTCGACGTGGCGAGCTGGACAGACTGTGACGATACACTGCTGCGAAAAGAGTCGAAAACAACGCTGCCTTGCGTTGCGTAACGACTGACGGAGTTCGTTTCTCAAAAGAATTGACACTGACCAAGTTCGTTTCTGACATCGACACTTCTGATGTTTTGTGCTAGCCTCCGCCTTCAGTGTTGCAAATATATACTCACTGTTCGCGCGAGTTGACCGGAGCTCAGGTCCTGCCTGGAGCTCACTCTACATCTCTGCGTGAGAGAAAAACAGCGTGTCTCACCTCTTCTTGCTTGACATCCTGCTAACACTGCCCGCCGTGGTCGGGATGAGACCACTTGATAGCTTTGATGGTCACACACGCACGCCATCTCACCACACACACACACACCTCCTCCCTCCCCTCCTTCTCATCCTCGTCCATCACATCATCACTTATACTGCACGTCTGAGCATAACCGCCTCATATGCCTTCTCTCCTCACACTTCCTTCTTGACTTTTCATCTCACTACTCCGTCTCCCAAGTGATGTTCATATACATTTGAAATTTGTAAAACTTATCATGCGGGGTTATCCGGTCCTTTTATTTTTGGTCTTTATCAGTAGACCTTTTGTTCCTTTACTTCCTACTGGGTTGGGTCTTCTGCCATGCTGAGCCATGCCGTGCCATGGCCCCCCACAGAGAAAAGCCACCGCATGAGCCACGGAACCTCAAAAAGACCGCATCCCTCAGCTAGGAACAAAAGGCATCGCTACTAGGAGCAAGTGCCACGCTACTAGTGCATCGCTACTAGTAACAAGTGCCTTACTAGTAGTAACAAGAAGCTACTAGGGGCTCCCTGGCATCGCTACTAGGAGCAAGAACGCGACTAGTAACAATTGTATACATGTACCGAACGAGATCGAAGGAATACACTCAAGTCCGACTTTTCCAGTTCATCCTCCCCGCCTTGTCCGCATGGGCAAGGAGTGTTCCATTGAAGATCATGTTCAGGATCCTGGCCCAACACAGGACTTAGCCTGCAGCATCATGATATTGTGAGTGCCACGTCTGCATCAGGAACAGCATGATGCCCATAGCGCTGCCACCTCGCAAGCTGCCTCCAGCACAAGTTGCATTTCCCAACAAAACCCTAAATCTAATGTCCCTTGTTTCCTTTAACGATTGGATGTTGCGGTGCCTTCTATGTGGCGTTTTGGGGTTTCACACCTGGAAGACCTTGCACTTTGGAGCCGAAAGAGGCCGTTTGCCTTTGCTCCGTGTTTGAGCTTTTGAGCTTCAGGCCACATAGCTGCGCAAAGGTATCATTGAAGCCCACGTAGGCGGCCTCAGCAACGGGCCACACTCTGTCAACTAGTTGCGGCAAGCAGGAATCGCGACATGGGAAAGTACGAGGAGGATTTGTAAAGGGAGAGACTCAGCATGAAGCAGCCACAGTGCCCTGCATCCCAGCAGAAGAGTCCAGTTTAGTCTTATTTAAGGCAACCTCCATGCTTCAGGCAAATCAACGGGAACTGCATCACCTCCAACTGCTAAGCATACTAGAGAACACATCTGACATATGCCTTGCAAACGCTGAGTTCTTCACCAGCAGCAGCCACACTTCCGGAGCGGTTTGGAGTGGCGTGTCCTGGTTTGGAGTGGCAGGTCCAACGCAAGGTGCTTTCTTCAAGAAGTGGGCAGTCCAAAATCAAGAGCGAGGGGACCAAAGCAGCCAGTGCGAGCAAAAACCAAATTGGCATGTTCACCTCGGCACGTTTTGTAAGGCGTCACATGAGCCACATGAGTCACACCATCCCTCACGATGGCACCATCATGTCAGCCGTCAAATGTGCGAGAGGATGGTAGAGGCCGTTCTTCACCTGCAAACACCCTCCGAAAGTGTCCAGTTCCCACAAATCTGCAGTTTCAAATAAAGCAAACGCTTTGTCGTTGACAGTGTCCCACTTTCAGGGATTCACCCTGCCAAAGCTTCTCCCACTTTCACAAGCGCCGTTGCTCTCGGGATGATCTTCTTGACCAGGCGTTTCAGCCCACGCGATTTGCCCCGAGCGCCTTTGTTATGACTCCCTGGTCATTTGCCAAGCTCGTGGAAGGTGGTTTGAACTCTGGAGATGTGTGACTGTCATGGTGCCGGTTTGACAGCATATGCATACACATGGTTCTTTCTGGGCCCCCTCCCTGGAGATTCCCGTTAGTCACCATGGCAAGAGTGCAATCTTGTGTGACTTTGCATCTCAGGGCTGCATGCAGATTCATCCAACCGAATTCAAAGTACACATGCAGTCCTGTCAGCCAGCGCCAAACGAGTGGGCATGAAGAAGGGAGCAAACAGCAAATCCGAGCTCCACTTGAAAGTGTGAGAGCCAATGCACCCATTCTTTTTGGAGTTCCTGTTAGCCACTTGTGGCTTGTGCGAGCACCAGGACTGCAATGAGCTGTGATACACGAGCCTGTGACAAACACGCACATGTGATGCCACTTTTTGCCTCACCAAATTGTTCAGGTTCCCTGGTCAGCATTTGGGTCCTTCACAGCTCTGATGTCATGGGTAGTGTTTGCTTGGGGAGAATCACAACTCACAACCACATGTCCTGAATGACAATAAGGATATACTCTCGATCAGGCGCCACCATGATCTCCTTTGCGTCAAGCAAACGGAACCGCAGCAGCTTGGATCAGCAGTGTAGTAGCTATAAAAACAAGAACAACACTTCCAAACGGCTTCTTTTGGAATTCCCAGTGACTGTGTTGAATCATCTTAAGCCTTATGTTGTTCCTTTCTCGTTGCCATGGCTCGTGCTTCTTGGACCTGATGCGGAGAAAGGTCAGGTCGTTCATGGGATCCAAGTCACGAACAACGCTGCGCGCCTCGAGGACAACAGAAAAAGAGATCGAACGTCTCAAGGTTGTGAGCTACTTGCTCCTAGCCCCTAGTAGCGTCCTTGCTCCTAGTAGCGATGCCAGGACCTAGTAGCGAACATTGTTCCTAGTGGAGGAGGGAAAAGAAACACACAAGACATGTCGCCCTCCCAAACTTCCCAGCAAAGCCTTCGCAGCCAGCTGTGACACTAACTCCGCATATTGCTCGGTCTGCTTTTTGTCCAAGGTGGTGCGGATGGGCGCCTCAGGCAAACAGCAACCTGCTGTGCTAGGATCGAAAAATGGATTTCTTTCTATCTCTAGTCTTTTCCTTGAACATTTCCTGCTTTGGTTGTGCAAGGCCCATAAGCTTTTGATAGCGCACCGTGCATTGGAAAAGGGCACCAATTGCACTCTCTCAGTCTCTGGCCCCGTCAGCGTTCACAATCACGATGCCAACCACCTGAACTTGGAAGCGACAGGGACGCTATTGATGCCATCAGCTCTCCACCAGCACTGCTCTGTGCGGTTCACTATTTCACCAAGCTCCCCACACCCCGATGGGTTTTGATCCGGTTTAGCGTCTCCTGCACTTTGATTGTGCTCACTTCAATCATGAACGTTCAAGTGTTCATTTCGCAACTGCTGCGCCACACAGTTCAGATCATCCTGATTTGGCCCTCCCTTGCACTAACGCAAATCCGACTTTTTCTGTCACTCATTTGGCTAAGAATGGCTCATGTCACCGTCATTCAGCAAAATAAGCAAACGGGTGAAACTAGTGGTAAATGCTGAATGCTGGCTGCTCATGAAGCAGGAGAAGTGGATTTTGCGTAAAGTGGTGTTGTGTTGTTGTGCCTTGCTATTCAAAATAGACATGAGCACCAATGAGCATCAGAACGGTGGAAACATCTCGTGTCTTTCATGTTCTCTCACGTATGGCGCTGTACAAAGCCTCTTCCAACTGCTGTTTAGCGATCTGTGCGTTGGTCAAATCCTTGAGCTCCACCTGGCCAGCGTCCCGGAAGATCTGACCAAGTCGCTTCAAGGCCAAAGCTCTTCGGTAACGGATCTGCCATGGCACGCTGATGTCTTTCAGCGCTCGGTCACAAACCTTGTAGAGAGTACTCTCAATATCCATCTGAGAAATGTCCCAAATGGCCTGCAAGAAACGATGAAAGGTTTAAGATCAAAGGAAGGAAAGGACAAGAAGCAAAATAAAAAAGACACATAACAACAAACAAACACATACCGGTAAGAATAAGAGTCCCAAATGGCCTGCAAGAAAACCGGTAAGGAACCTTCCAAAGTGGTTAAGGCTTGTCTGGCAGCAGCATCTCTTTTGGCTTGATCTTCATCAGCCATGCCACTACCGGCTGCATCCGTCATCTCCTTCACGGCAATTGCACTTTTGGCCACTGAGGACATGGCCTTGAACTTTACCTGTGTGGAGCGCGTCTGATGGGTCCAACAAAATTGAGAAGAGAGAAGGACAATCTAACGGTCCAAATTGTGTTGGAAAAAAAGAACAATAAAAATCAATGTTTCTTGAACCGTTTGGTTCTGTTCGATATATCTTAGATCTTATTGTTTTTCTGCTTCTCTCACCTCCGTGGAGTGAGTCCCGTCTTTCCAACTTTGGATCTGCCCATCCACGGTGAAGTTCCCCCAACAGCTCAACAAGAACTGCTCCGCCGAACACTCGTAGACCCAACCGATGGTCCGAAGAAGCCGGCCTCAGGGACTCTCGACGCAGTTCTCACAGAATGGACTCTTTGTGAAAATCGTCGGAAAACAGAACATCACCTCTAGTCACAACGGCCTTCTAAAAGTACCTAGAAGATCTTGGCAGCTCAAAGCTCCATCCAAATCACTTAAGGAATACAAAGAGGGTATGTCCCGCTTCGCCCCTGCCTCCAAAGGAGACCTGTGCCAATTCTGCGGTCTCTTGCAAGACCCCAGTGGTCCATCCGTCAGGGTTTCGACCCATGACCCATCTGTCCAACCTCGACACCAACTGCGCTGCGCAGGTCACTTCTCGGACGAATTGCTGTCGCTTGATCTGCTGGTCCTTCTTCTCCGATCCCCATCTCATCTCACGCTCGATGGAATTTCCGATCACGTCTCGCCCGGGCGGCGCATCCTGTCCTGAACCAGCTTTCGGAGACTCTACTAGTAACAAGTGCACCTCTACTAGTAACAAGTGCCTTACTAGTAGTAACAAGAAGCTACTAGTAACAAGTGCATCGCTACTAGGAACAAGTGCCTTACTAGTAGTAACAAGAAGCTACTAGTAACAAGTGCATCGCTACTAGGAACAAGTGCCTTACTAGTAGTAACAAGAAGCTACTAGTAAGAAGTGCATCGCTACTAGGAACAAGTGCCTTACTAGTAGTAACAAGAAGCTACTAGTAACAAGTGCATCGCTAGTAGTAACAAGCGCCTTACTACTAGTAGTAACAAGAAGCTACTAGTAACAAGTGCATCGCTACTAGGAACAAGTGCCTTACTAGTAGTAACAAGAAGCTACTAGTAAGAAGTGCATCGCTACTAGGAACAAGTGCCTTACTAGTAGTAACAAGAAGCTACTAGTAACAAGTGCATCGCTACTAGTAACAAGCGCCTTACTACTAGTAGTAACAAGAAGCTACTAGTAACAAGTGCATCGCTACTAGTAACAAGTGCATCGCTACTAGGAACAAGAAGCTATTAGAATTAAACTAAGATTGGGCTTAGTGATGGAACCATCCATGAAGAACCTAGTAACCTGGTAGCCATGGGCAACCATGAAGATTCCCGAAGAAACCCTACGCAAACAACATGTCGTTTCAAGGTCCTTGTTGATGCCGCTCGAAATCCTTTTGCAGGTCCTTCGTGAAGTGGTCTGTCTGCATGGCCATCCAAAGCTTCCCGATGTATTTCTCAAACTGCTCGGCACCGAACAACATACTGAAGAAAAGCCCTGCATCGATGTTAGGTAAGGCCTGATCGCTAATGGCCTCCACCTGCCAGCCAGAAAGGAAAAGACATGCGGAGAGACACTTAGAATTCTTGTTTCTAATAGCTTCTTGTTACTACTAGTAAGGCCCTTGTTCCTAGTAGCGATGCACTTGTTCCTAGTAGCTTATCGTTTCTGAGGCTACTATATGCTTTGGGAGGAGTACTTGGCTAATGCAAGGGTTTGACCATTGCGATTCTCGACGTACGATTGCTGCAACCGAGCGACTCCATTCTGATCGTATTTTTCTCTCAACTTTGGGTCGCTCAAGACCTGGTAAGCCTGAGCCAGCTTCTGGAACCTCACGCTGGCTTCAGGGTCATTCTGATTCTTGTCCGGATGTAACTTCAAAGCAACTTTGTAATAGTTCTTCTTGATCTCCGCAGCGGTTGCATTGGGCTTCACTTCCAGGATGTCGTAGAAGCTAGTGTCAGCCACCTTCCTGGCAGGTCGGTCATCAACCTCCTCATCTGAGGACTCATGCTCCATGGTCTCTGCCTTGGCACAGTCCTCTCGCAAGTTGCAGAAGTCGTCCACCCAAGCCCCCAACTCGGAGTCCCAACGTTTCTTCGCAGTGGCCGCCATTTGCAGTGCTTCCGGGGTATTGTAAACACCTCGGCACACTTGAGTAGCACCTGCGACAGCTCCACCCAAGGTCAAACCAATTGCACCACATACACCGCCGGCTAAGCCCTTGAAGAAGCCTGTAATGCCTTCCTCCTTGGCGGCCATGACAGGTGCTGCAATCAAAGCTGCAGTGCCCGCCACAACTCCAGCACCGGCGACCTTCAAACCACTACTGACGCCATCGATGACATCACGAGGTCTTGTTGAACTCAGCAGTTTGTCCATCGGGTGCGCTCCCGAGTTCGGGTCATCCGCAGACTCGCTTTGCACCAAAACCATGGCCGTTGAATCTGATATCACCGGTTTAGGCTCCTCCTAGTGCGGTGGATGAAACATACACAAACAATCGATTTTCATCTTATAGAAGAACGAAGAACCAGAACCCTGGAAAAACGCTGAGTTTTGGAAGTCTTTGGATCCGGTCTACTCTGGTGCGAGCACACTGTGCAAGCCTTTCCAACGCAAAAAGACCAATGGGTTTTCGGAATCTTGGCCAATGCCGCGCCTCCTTCGGTGGCGCTTCTGCCTGAGGTTGGCCCATAGGGGAGGTTGGAGTGGACTCCTCTTTTGGTGGGTAAGCTGCCGGATTCATCGCGGCCAAATTCTCTAGGATAATGAGACGGATGTGAACCACGGATCCGTGTTCAAGCACATTCCATGCACAGCCCTGGCCGTTGGGAACCTGAGCCAAAAACGGGCAAGATCAATCTCCGCATCTTGCCCGCCAAGGCCAATAAGCCAATGACCATGAAAAGGACGCTACTAGGGGCTCCTGGCCTTACTACGAGCAAGAAGCTACTAGGGGCTCCTGGCATCGCTACTAGGAGCAAGGACGCTACTAGGAGCATGAAACTTCTTTCTTTCTTTCTTTCTTTCTTTCTCTCTCTCTCTCTTTCTCTTTTTCTGCATCTAGGTCAGACCTTCCCGCGTTTAAAGGCCACTGACTGAGATGGTTAATAAGAAGGTTCCCAAAAGAAAGAGACCCAAAAACCCTCTAAGCACCTTCGCACATGCAGTTCCATACTAGTCACTAGTCCGAGAGGATCTATTTCACCGAGTGGCTTGTACACCTTTGGCTGGCACTGCTTGTGCAGCCCACATTTCTTGCAAGAGCTCTGCAGGAGGTGGCCCAGCCCATGCTCCAAAGGTTGCTGATGTGGTCAAAGGATTCGAAAAAACGATGCTGAAGTAGGTGTCTAAGCTCTTCTCGCTCACGAACCAAACGAGACCAGCTAACCCACGGAAAACCTCATCGCCCGCGAATTCCAACCTGGTGACTTTCCCCGCTTCCAGGGATGCCACCTTCCCACACCAGCTCCCACTGTCGAAAAAATCCCCATCCAAAACCATGCTTTCTTCGTAGCGATTGTCAACTTCAATCACCAAACGTCTCTCCACAAAGGTCATTCGGGGTGCCGAACTCACGTTTTGATCCGTCAAAGTAGAGCGGCAATAGCGAGCCTGAGCAGGGAGCACTGATAATTGTGACTGTGTTTGGACAGGAGAATTCCAAATTCATCCGAATCCCTTGCCCTTGCAGGTGAGTGCCTGCTACTACGACTATGGCCACGACCACGGATGCCTTCACTCTAGAAATGTTCCTCAAAAATCTAATGGGCCAAACGTATTTCCTGCCTTGGCCAAGCGCCGTTCCAGCTCCTCGGGGAGCTTCACGTGCTCGGGCGGCAAAATCACCAGGCGCACTGTGACGTGCTCATCGCTGAGCTCCTGCGTTTTATGTTGCAAGACCGCACACCGCTCAAAAACAAAGAGACAAACGAGGCCAAACTCGCCAAAAAACGTCCAAAGAGAGCCACTCCTGCGTCTCCCATGCACAGCCCGCCTCCCTGCGGAGGCCGGTGCCTGGGCGTGCCAAGTCCGGGATCCGCTGCAAGAGGTCTTTGCCATGCAAAGATCCACCACAACGTGCAGAGAAACAAGGAGCCGTAGCAATGGGAACACTGAACGCCATGGTCAAAAGTTGCGAATGATCCATATTGCTGAAGACCACATAGCCTGAAAGACCAGACCACCAGGACTGACTCTCGAAGTCTAACGCTGCAAAGTCGGTGAATTTGTTGGTCCGGACATCCTTCCAACCGCCACACTCGAAGTTCTCCCCGGAGAAGATGAAGGCACAGCGATCCTGCGACAAGTTCTCAACATTGATGGTCAAGCGACGAATAAAGGTGACCATCACAGCTTCCTAAAATCTATCATCCATCTGAGCCTTCAGCCAAGATGGCTGCGTCACACCGCAACACATAACCAGACCAAATGCTGTGGCTGCTCACAAGTCATCGCTGGCATCAAATTCAACAACTGCCCAAACAGGAAAACCAAGCTCAGCACAGCAAGAGCGAACAAAAAGAAAGATGCAAGAACAAATAGAGGTATTAGAATAGCAAACGCAATACAAGACAAAAAATAAAAGCAGTGATGACCACAACAAGACAACGTGGAACGGATGAGTAGCGCCTCAACCTCGGACATTGTGGAGCTGCTCCACCTGCTCCCTTTGGACGGCTGAGCACTGAACAGCTGCGGAAATAATGCGATGGCCTCCAAACTACCATAGTTGCGTTTGGGTGCATTTCTACCTGGCCTACTTCCGTCGTTTCTCCAGTATTCATGTCGGTTTGAACAGGGCAACTTGCAGCATTCTGTCAAATTTATGTATGCAACTTGGTGGCAATTATAGGGCACCCTTACTCTGCGGCCTCCTTGCGAAAGCACGCATACTCCCTGGCAAAGTTTGGCACAGCGCCGATGCAAAGGAAGGCTGGAAGTTGCTGCACCTCAGTGGTGAATCTTTAACCAAATGGGTGTAATTGGGGCAAGTCACAGGCTAAAGAGCCAAGAACATGACCAAAGTCAACACAACCCGTTGCAGCTAGCACTCCCTACTCCAATGGTTCTGGCTCTAGGATGGGTAAGGTGTCTTAAAAGTCAACCAAACTACCTGTCTCAATAAGACTGCTCGATGCAACACCAAGAACGACAAACGCGCAAATAAAGAACCTAGGCCCGAGGCCCACATAATAGCCCAAAGATAATTCAACACATTCTCCTGTGACAAGCAACTAGCTTGATTTCGGTGTCCAGTCGCGATTGCAACTAACTTGCTGGCTGGCCTGATCCCTTTCTCGGGCTCCAATGTATGCCGCGCAAACGAAGGTCACCAACACAGCAGTCCTCATGGGAACTGGCAATGTTTCAATGATGAAGAAGCCTTGAAACGCACCTCTTGCCAGAGGACCAAGTAGTCTTACTCTTGAGGATCTCACAGAACTGCACGTCCACCAAAGGCAATCGGGTTCCTGTCGTGATGTGGTCCCAGCGGTCCAGGAAAGTTTTCGAAGGCTGTGATTCGTTGCTTTCGGCCTGATGTTGCCCCTCACGAATCTCGCAAAAAGCTTCCAAACCTGCCGAGCGCCGCTACGTACTAGGGGCTCCTGGCATCGCTACTAGGAGCAAGGACGCTACTAGAGGCTCCTGGCCTCACTACTGGGAACAAGAAGCTACTAGGAGCAAAGGGCGTCATGGGGCTCTGACTTTCAGTTGGGCTGTTCTTGGACCGAAATCATCACTACATGTGGTGTGGGCGGCGAGTTGGGGCCTGCATTAGGAAGCTGGCTCCAGCTTTGCTTGTCGGTGGCTCTCGGCACCTCAGGTAGCGGTCGTTCACCTGAAAACCGAAGTGAGAACCCTAAGGCGTGGCCTTGAAAGGGCTGGACGTTCCTGGCAGAAAGGCAGAACTTGACATGCGACACTTTCTGTAACATCGGAGTCCTCTCCCCTTGAGGAAGCTGTGCGATACATGCGACGCTTGTTCACACCCTCTGATTGAACCAACAAATTGAAAGGCCTTCTGGGAGGCTGCATGCCAGGCATCGCATATGTGTTCCACCTGACACCAGGGACTTGTGCAAACCACTGGCTGGAAAGCCAAGCCAAATCCCAAAAGGGGCATTAACTGCTTCAACAAGAGTCGTGAAGAGTGCTGTTTTGATCGAACCGTTTGCATTCAAGCAACTTTCTCGCCTGCCCAGGCTCTGCAAAGTCGGCATTGGTGATTCGAATCATAAACCTCAGTCACGCTGCAACGTCGGGAGGGGTGTGCAAACAATGGCCCACCCAGTGACTCTACAAAACGATCCGCTCAGTGCTCGGTGCTCTTCAACTTTAGCCACTGAGAAGCACACTCCGCAGGGTTGATGCCAGGCTGGCTTGGATATCTGGGAACAAAAAGCTTCTAGTAACAAGACGCTACTAGGGGCTCCTGGCATCGCTACTAGTAACAAGGACGCTACTAGGGGCTCCTGGCCTTACTACTAGGAACAAGAAGCTACTAGTAACATATCTCGTATGGTCTGGAAAAAGCAAAAGCCTCCCAAATTGGTTTTCCCTTCCATTTGAACGAATCTACTGTTGCATCATCTGCGACACCAGCTAGGCACCCAATGCTGGCAAAATGGGGAAGGGCTTCATCTGCCCGACCTCAGGTGGACACACTTGGATACAGAACACCTGTAAAGTTCTCAGGTCATAGCTTTGACTATAGCACCCTTCTATTTCCCTAGCGAAGACAGGCCATTTTGATCGAACATATGCGACCAAAAGTTCTTCATAGCTTCGAAGGATGCCAAGTCTCAGGCCGAAGTAGCACACCCGACCTTTCGCCAAGACCAAGAGCCGGTCAAACCTGGCACTTCGAAACGAAGAACAGTTTTTCTTGTTTCCTTTTCTTACGCGGGGGGGGTAGTAGCTACCAAGCTACTAGTATGTAACGGCCACCATGCTAGGCTCGGATGCACTCTCTGCTCAGGCTTCAAAAAAGCTACCCCCTCCCCCCCCAAAAGGTGCTAAAAGCCCTCCGGATAAAATTGAGGATCAAAGCAAACTAGTAGTCAGAAAGCTCCCCCTTTTTGTTACTAGTAGTAAGAATGCTCCTAGTAGCGATGCCAGGAGCCCCTAGTAGCTTCTTGTTACTATGCCCTAAACCTGGGTCACTTGGACTGTAAGGGCCCGACAATTGGAAGACGTAGGACGATGGCTGGTGAATGGTGCCTACAACCATACCAAACACATTACTCGTCCAAACGCCAGGATCACCATGGCGTTGGTGTTTTGCTATTGTGCTACTTGGCAGCGCACAAATCGTCGCCAAGTTGTTGGCCAGGGATATGCCCGTGAGAAGCTCTATGATGGCCTGAGATGAGCACAGCCGGGACAGATTGAAGGATGAAAACCTCAACAAACAAATTGGAAGAGTTGCCTTTCTTTTGCTACGGTCGTGGAGCTTAGACATACAATATCTTTGCACGACCACATGCCTTACAGAAATGGCAAGCGGGTTTGCAGACGGCCTCGGCAGCCTTGGAGTCTAAGCCAGAGGTGGGCTCATCAAGGACCTGCCACTAGGTAGGTCATGAAATGTCATGAAAGAGCTGTGGAACAGTTGAGTAACATTATGCACATCCACCGAATGCAGAATGCACCAACCTTTACCAATACAAGTTGCAACTTCGACTTCTAGCCGAGCCCAAGTCCCACCAGCACAGAGGGCCGCTTCAGGAGCTCCACAGCCTCAGGATGCGATCTGCAACAAGGCCTTCGTGACTTCGACTGTGTCTTGATCGTTTAGTTTGGACTCCGCCCAGTCCCTTCTAGGAACAAGAAGCTACTAGGGGTTCCTGGCCTTACTACTAGGAGGGAAATGCTGTAGGTCCCCGCTGGAGGGCCCGACATTCGGCATGTATGATGACTGGGTAAGTGTGTCCAGAAGGTCTTTCCTCTTAACGAAAAGGACGGGTGAAAGGCTTTAGTACACATCCCGCCCCTTCTCTAGAATCTAAACAAGGGTTCTTCGCACTCATCAGGAGCAAATCAAATGTTCCCAGTTCTGCTCTCTGGGTATCTTCACCAGGCTCACTCGCCGTCTTTGGCCTCCAGACCTCAAATCGCTCCATGGTCTGACAAGACACAGGTGCCCTTTACCGACTTGGGCGATGAAAGGAGGTTTTCAGATTCTCACACTTCCAGCTTGCTTTCTATTCTTTTTTCTCCTGGTCCTTTCCTTTCTTCTCCGACCTGGATTTTACAGAATAACAAGCTCTTGCCGCCATTTCTGTTTCGCTCAGAGCTGAGAAAACTGCACACCACGGATCAGCAGTCCATCCCCTACCTGCAGTGAGGTTGGAGCTGGTTCTGCGGACTCTTGGGGCGAATCCCCAGCCAGCTCAACTCTGTCATTGTCGGAGAATGCGAGAAAGAACGACATTGTTTGGACAGCCAGCTCTGTAAAGCACTTCGCCTTGACATTCTGGCATGAATCAAGGCCCACTTGGCTCAAGAGCGTCTGCACCTGGCGCGAAGGACATTGCATTGTGTTTCCAGTTCTCAAAATCAGCACAACTCAAGCCCGAGCACCTTTCTTACCACCATACAATACTTTCTTGCTGTATCTTTTAGCTAGTTAGACGTTGTCACTCTTTAGGTGTGTGGCATGCTTCTGGCGGTCGCCGCGAGACTCCCGTCCTATGGCAAAAGCTTCAAGAAAAACGAATGGCCGCGGCAACAAGCTAGAAAGTACACGGCTGTTGCTTAGATGACGTGCTGCAGCCAAAAGAGCACTGCAAACACACGGTCCTTGGTAGAGACTGGCTGCAAAAAAGAGCGTCTCCTGGACCTTGCATGGAGCATTGTGATTGACGGAGCATGTCTTTGCGCTCTTTGCAGTGCTGTTGCTACACGGATCTGCGCCGTGCCGGCTATGCCTGGTGACAATTGGAGCAAACGCTGTTGTAGTCGAGCGGCTGTGAGCGTTGGGCAGCAAGCATCAGACTGGGCCACGTAAGCGCAGCTTCTCCGGAAGAGGGCCTGGTCCTTAGCCGAGTAGATGAACGCAGCAAAACGATGAGTCTTGCAGACGAGGGTGCTCTGATGCATCGTTGGGAAGAAAGGAACAGATCTCAGGCTTGAGGCCTTTGAAAAGTGTCAAGAATTCAGGACCCAAGGCTTTACATAGCCTTGCAAACAGCCAAACTGCCACCGAGGCCTCTGCCAGGTTTTGACTGTTGAGCAGCACCTGACCTTGTCGACGGCCGTGCCGCGGTTCCAAGGCCACCTAGCACATCGCTCTGGGTGCCGGGCGGGCAGTGCAAATTCGAAACTAAAGCAGAAACGACACGTGACTCGACGACCATCTTTACACAACTCTCGTTTTGGTCTTTGTGCCGAAATTGCAAAACTAGCTCTTTGCAAGTTGGACGCTTTCTCCTAAAAGACTCTCAACATGGCACCCCGCAGGCACCCCCGCTTTGAAGGTTGCAATTCAGCCATTGGACACGGAAGGCTTCCAGCCAGTTCTCCGAGTTTCTGGCTGTGTCCAGGAGGGTGGTCTTCCCGGCGCCCGAGCCCCCGATGATCGCGAGCACCTTCGCTTTCAGATTTGTTTGGGGAGCTACCATGCTGTCTGTGCCCACGGTTCTTGCAGGCCATTTTGTCCTTGATCGCAAAGCCAAGGACGACATGTGGAACGCCAAAGTGTCAAGAGAAGTTGCCAACATATGAGAGAAGTGATAAGGGTTTCATTTCATTCCTTTGGTAGCTGCCTACTTAGGACAAATGGCAGAATCAACCGGATGTCACTTCAGCACTCCAAGGAAGCCCAAGGAACGTGCAACCTTGAAACAACAAATGGAGCCCTCTTCATGTGAAGCGCTTAAATGACGAGACTTGGTGCCTCCCCACTGCGCACGTGGGCGGTGATGTTCTGCAAGAGTTCCTAGAGGCCAGCTTGTTAGGACGTCATGGATCGCTATGGTTTTGCTTCAACGTTCTTGAAGGACGAGGACGAGTCAATGCTCGAAAGTTCCGTCCTTCCGCACGCCCCTGGGCAGAGCAAGGACGAGGCTTCGGCGTTTGTTCAGCACTGTTGTCGCTTTAAACGCTTAGTGCCCTGCCTGGACTCGACGTAAAATCTCAGGTTTCCTCGGACCAACTCATAGCCCTACGGTTGTCTTCCCCTCGTCTTCACCCCAACTGATTTGGAGATATGTGCCAACAGACTGTGCAACAGTCAAAGGTCCAAGAACGACAATGCACAACTGGACTCGAACAACTTGGCCGAGGATCGGATGTGCAGTTCGGCATCTTCCGCCACAAAGGAGACATGCCTCAGCGGGAAAGTAGGCAAAGGACGCTACTAGGGGCTCCTGGCATCGCTACTAGTAACAAGTGCCTTACTAGTAGTAACAAGAAGCTAGTAGAAAGAAAGAAAACAATATAACATAGAAATGCATCACACTTTAATGACCATTTAGGATGCTATTAGGTGGAGGCTATCGCAAGTAGGTTGGAGGCCATCGCTACTAGTAACAAGAAACTACTGAAGCTACTTGTAAAAAAACTAGCAACATGTCTCATCAGGTCTTAGGCCCTGTCTTGGAAGGTTTCCTGAGGTGCGGTGTGGGTGTCGACAGTCCTCACGACACAAACAATTGCAGCGCTGGTTTCCGTTTCGAAAAGAATCTCTGGTCCTTCAGCAGGAGGGGCAACAGACCTCAGCCACGGTCTTTCTCTTTAGGCCTTTGGACATTCTCCGTTTTCCTCTTATCTTTCTTCATCTTCCTTTCTGTAGCCAAGCTCTTGATAAAGCTCTTCTGCTCCGGCCCTTGGCAGCTTGAGCTCGCTGCTGGAAAGGGTCAGACCATGTCTGCAGAACCTCCAGGTTGGACACATGGTCTGACTTTATGAGTTTTCTTTTCTTGCTTAGTAGCAAGGACGCTACTAGGGGCTCCTGGCCTTACTGCTAGTAACAAGAAGCTACTAGACAGTAGCTCCTGGCATCGCTACTAGTAGCATTTGCTCGGAAAACGCACTTTTTTGCAATCGACCCGTCTCGTCGCAAGATGGATCAAACCTTCTTGCTGGCTGCTTTCACAAAGCCAACGTACACCGACCAAGAAGCTTTCGGCGACTCCCCGCCGTGTCGAACAAACCACAAACAGTTCCGCAGAAGCCTTGGCGATCGGATGCACGGCTTCTCACCGTCTGCGATTTGTTGCTTCGTCATGATCGACACAGACCGCCGCACATGAGACGTTCGGGCGTTGAACAGTTTCCTTCATCCATCGGCATGAGCGGCTCGGTTCATCCAACTTCTCCTTCAGCTCCTAGTAGCGTCCTTGCTCCTAGCAGTAAGGCCAGGAGCCCCCAGTAGCGTCCGAACGCTCCTAGTAGCGATGCCAAGAGCCCCTAGTAGCGAACATTGCTCCTAGTAGCGTGGCACTTGTTACTACTAGTAAGGCACTTGTTACTAGAAGC